CAATTCGGCAACGTCGGAGCAAATGTAATCCCGCGAAACGGTCGCAAGGAGCACACTTACCAGTGTTTTCCTTAACAACCGCCTTCCCGAGACTGGGCAGTAATCCGTCCGTTTTAGCCGTCCGATTATAAACGACCCCATTTAAATGCTAATCTGCCACCGCAATGGTAGCCCAGGCGGACTCTTTGATGCGAGACAGCGCAGATAGATGTCCTTGGACCGCGTAAGCTCGGACTTACGCGATTTTTCCCATAAAAAAAGGAATAATTGCAGGTGTATAGCATTAATTATCTGTTTTGTATGTTTTTAATGCTGCCTGATAGTGGTCGTAATGTATTATCATGCATACATAACTGGGCTTTGGATTTGCTTTAGGGCCACAGCGCCATATCATCTTCAGGACGAATGAAATTGGACTCATTAAAACAAAACAAAAAACCGTTTTCTGTCTAGTCCAAATTCTACTGAAGTGGATATACTCTGGACTAATTATACAATGGGTTACTTATCACATCTGGTGTTTTATATGTAATATTCTAAAAGTGAGTAGATTACAAGGTGAATTTTAGCCTGCGTTTGGAACAAACTTTCGCTTTGGCTTTTAAAAGTCCAAAGACTCGAAGGAATTTTAAACCCGCCGAAATGGTGGGAAGATGACGGAAATGATGGACTGGGGCAGTCAAATCGCTATTCATTCTCATTTTCCTTTCATGTTTGTTAATAAAACGTATTTCAATGAGGAATTGTTATTCTTGTATAGTACAGAGAACATAGATGAGATTCAATTCATTCACTCGCTGCAGGTGTAGTTTTTCGACTTTTCTATTTTTTTCATAAGCGAGGAGTAGAAAGGCATTTGACTGAAGTCGTTGAAACCCGTGCTCGCTTCTGATTGATGCTGGATGACATTATTCGTCTCGGCGCAAAATCGGGGCGTTGCAAATTTGCGGGAAAGTCGCGCCTTTTGAGCTGCGAATTTCACGGTTTCTAAGTTGCTTTTTCGGGTTTTTAATGTGCGCATCTTCTTCTACGCGTCATTCACCTCATAATAATGCATACGAAATTCAGTCTTAATTTGTTCATGCAGTAGTGACTCTTTGTATCCTTCGCCAAGATATCATCCAATGTCAACAAAGGGTTTCGTGCGCAATAGATTCGACCGTACTAGGCGCCTCAAAGTGCCTTCAATTTCGCCGGTTATGCAATTTGCTTTCCAGAGAGTTAAAATAGTTGCTTGCGACGCCTTGCACTGTTAGCCTCTCGACGACTGTCTGCTTCATACTTACACTTCCGACTTGCGTCCGTTTGCGATAGGGTTTTTTCCTCTTCCTCTTCTTCTTTTTAAGTCAATCAGATGCGTATGTTTCATCAATCAAATGCCAACAGAGGCTTTTGTAAGCGAGAGATGCGGACGAGGTGAGCGCCTCAAAGTGCCTTCAATTTCGCCGGTTATGCAATTCGCATTCCGGAAAGTTAAAATAGTTGCTTGCGACGCCTTGCACTGTTAGCACCTCTCAAAGAAGACTACTTGTTACTTCCGCTTGCTTTGTGTGTTCGCAAATCAAAATCCGTTCATGGCTTAGTGACCCGTTGGATTCACTAAAACTAAGAAAACCGTTTTCCACTCAGTCCATGTTCATCAAAATGTACATCGACGGTGTAAGTCGGCAATCACATAACTCGGTTTGCGACGTTGTAGACTTCCTGTCACACTTAATTTTTTAAACGGAAAACTACTCGACGGCAATTCTTTAAAACTGCCGTGATTTTTCTTCTCTGTGCGAAGAAAATTCTGCATAAACTTCAAGGGATGATGTCAATTTGTTCTCCTTTAAAAAAATAACACAGAGGCGGAGATTTTCAGACACCGCAAACGAGTTATGTGATTGCCGACTTACACCGTCGATATACTTTGAGCCAACTACATAATTAACGAAATTATTTGGAATCCACACAAAATTCCCATATACTTCTCAAGAAGGTGAAGTGGCGTCACGTAATTTGCCTCAATCCCAAAACATTCATCAGCCGAGATTCTCATCCGTGGCAAAGCGTGCGAATGATCGATTATCGATACTTCCCTATTGCAGCTATGGTAAAAAATCTATGGTTAAGGCGTTCGCTGCAAACACCCTGTTTATCAGTCGTTTTTCACAGATTTAAATGACAGATCAATCGATATATCGCCAAGTACGCCACCCCACTGATTCTCATCTATAATACAAATGTAGTAATGGACGTCTTCCAACACACGAAAAACTTTGAGAAGCGATTAAAGAGCTAAACTTGAAGAGGTTAGAAAATACCTGGGGTTAAGTGATCCCTCATTCCATCCAACCACCTCTATATTTCCATGAAAAACGGCCTTGTTACCTCTTCGATTCTCCGGTTTCGAGGACCGGCAGTACCGGCACCCGTTACGGGCCACTCGAAAAGCAGGGATGCCGTTTTGGCTCGCATCCGAACCCAGATCTCGATTCGTTTGCTAAGGAAGAACACCGTATGAACTTTCGAGAGTTGCCAAACTTTCATGTGTAGAACATGCATTTTTGAGGAAAGTTGTGCATATTTTGCCGTGCAATTTTCAGATATTATAGATTAAATTACGAACATAACGGTCTGGAAAACTGAGAGAAAAGTATTCAAAATTGTCCCGGTAAACTCGTTTTACATAGAAAGAACAATGTCAACGTCTCAAGGTTCACACAACGTTTTTCCCTAGTAAGGCAGCACGGTTGGACGATGTTCTTGACTCGTCGTGAACTACGTGCGCCAATTATCATTCTTGGCAAGCCTTCGAACTTTTGACTTTTTCCCCGGTACCAGTGAATTTGTGATTTGACCGCCGCTGTCATGCTGCGCGGAAAAGAGGAGAAAAAAAAACCTCGCGAAAAATTGAGTGGTAAACGACGTACGTAGACCAAGATTGAACTTTCCTCAATAAGGGCCATCTCCCCCCCCCCTTGGAGGGTCCATTTTGAAATCTACGTTATGCCTTCTTACAAAATTGCCCTTTTTAACACGCAGTCTAGACTCTAATATTTAAGGTGTCTATCTAAGATTGGATGAAAGGGATACTTTTGCACATGTTCTCCAGCTCAGTTTGCCTGCGGTCTCATGCTTTTCGCACGAAATACTCTTTTTCGACGGTTTTCTGGTTTCTTTAAGCGTGCAAGTCTATTTTTGAAGCTTTCTCTTCTTTGAATATGTGTTTTTGTATGCCACTAGTGATTTAAGAACGAAAAATGGAAGCGTTTTAACGATGCCGTGATACTGAACTATTCCAAACACTGGAAGACTGTCACTTTTTGAAAAGAAAAAAAAAGAAAGTAAAATCACTGTTATGAACAAGGGTAAAAATATTCCGTCCATCCAATTTTCGATAGTGAAGCAAAAACACATTTTTTCAAAGGATGCAAAGTATATTTTCACACTTGCCTCATGTGGCAGAATATATCCCTTAATGAGACCGGTCCTTCCTTCTTAAAATGAATCCAGTATAGATATCCCCCATATTTATCTTGTTACTTTCTGCATCCAATTATCATATCGATGGCTGACATGAAAAAACGTCAATTGTTTTCTGATATGCAAATCAACCGAAATACCTACTCGAAATTTCCTACGCAGCTTTTCAAATGAGTCAGGCATTTTGCAGAAAGTTTCGAGAAACAGTCTCGGTTACTTTTCTGTTTTACAAATAGCTACAACATGCGTGGGATTCCCAACTTCGCGATCGGAGATTCGCATTTTTCGATTTAAGGCATCAATAAATCGTGACGCAACATGACAACCCTGTTCAGTCAATGGACTCCTCAAAACATCCCCATTACCCCCCTCAGCCTGACAGTGGAGACGTGCCTCCGACGTAAGGTCGTACCTCGATTTCAACTTGAGCCCTGTTCTTCGTATAAATCTTTGCTTTCTGGGTCTCACGCGGAAATCGAGGTACACCTTTCTGCCGAGGGAGCGACGAGCAGAGACGTACCTCATCGCGACGAGTGTTCGCCGCCGTTCGCGTCGTGATAAAATATGGTCGTGATTTTTCCGCTAAAAGCGGATATTGTCGTTCCGCTCGGAAAAGCGCGGATTATCCCGAGGAAAGCCGCCACGGTTCGAGCGTCTCGAGCGCGATCTGGCGGACGGTACGACCCGATTTTCCTTATTTCCTCGTTTTTGCTCGCTTATTTTGACGGGAACGAGCCGATGTTTTTGAGGTTCCGTGACAAACGAGCTTTTTCGTTTGCTCGTGTGCCGACGGCTCCGTCGCGCCAAGTCCTCACTCTGCCATGCAAAGTAAAAATGCCGTATCAGCATTCGAGAGTTGCCTAATTTCTTTCGATATAATGTGTATTTTCAAGGAAAGTTATGGATATTTTTCCTTGAAATTTTCAGGGACTTTGGATGAAATTGCAAATAAAATTATCTGAAAACTTGGAAGAAAAATATTCATGAGTTTACCAGGAAATTCGTGTTTTTCCAAAGTAAATTTGGCAACGCCTGAAGGTTCATACGGCGTTTTTCCTTAGACGGCAGGACTCCCGTTCCATGTATGACGGCGGTTATGGAACTCGATTGCGGTTGTTTATGAAGCTCCGCTCGGGCAATCGGCGAAAAATTCCGCCGACGATACCGTGTTACTCACCGCCTTTTCCGGTTGAAATAATATGTCGATTGGCTGACATAAGGGCGTAACTACACATTGAGATGAGCTCGGAAAAGCATTGAGCTGTATGAACGACGGGGCTCATTGCAGAGTGTAGTTACGCCCTTACGTCAAGAGGGCGACGAATATTTTGTACATTTCGATGCCATTAAGCGGATGTACAGTCTGATATGCATTCTACGGAGTATTTGCAGTGGTATTTTTTGAAGCATTCAAAATCTCTTGTAACCATTTGTCGCCTGCTTTGGTAAAAAAAAAATTGTTGAAATGACAAGTTTTCATGTCAATGCTTGCTTTCAGAGTGAACTAACAAAATTCTTTTTGTTTGTTTCAGGATGCCTCAGGCAGCAAAACCGGCATATTTCTAAAGCACCCGCAAGCACTGGATCAAATAATTCTACAGACGAACCTCAGAGCTTCCAAAAACTTATGAACATTTTTTATCATTCTTAATCATATTTTAAATAAGTTATCAGGATATGAAAGCATTTACTAAATTTTATTGAACTTTGATACAGGCAATAGAATACTACAATTTTATAAGTATTAATACAAAATTAAGCATAAGCAAACGAATTTAGGAATTTCCAAAATTCGGCTCTCTCCGCATTGTATATCTGAAGCATTTTACAATATCAATAGTAAAATCATGGGCAGTGCGGACGCCAGGCAAGTTTCCACCGACGGAATCTACTTCGCAGTACCGCGACGGATTCTCGAAGAAGATGATTGGATTCCTCCGGACCAACTGGACCGGAACTCCCCCGAAATTCCGGATCAAAATCCGGAACTTGTGCCTTCAATCCGGAGCGATGACCCACGGCTGATGGACCATTTCGGACCCGACGTGGACGAATACTTGCTCAAGTGTTCGTTAGACAAGTTCGAGAATCAGACCGTCGCGACCTTCCGGAAAGACGTCATCACCCAATTGAGCGCAGCTCTCAAAAACGCTGAAACCTGTAAAACAACCGGTTCGAGCACCGACGAAGAGTCCGATACCTCCGAGGAGGAAGAGGAAATCCGGTTTGGTCATAAGCGGCACCCGATTTACAAAAACGTTCTTACGTCTCAGGGATTTTACAAAAATGCACACCGCGGGGAAGCGGCGCCCAGGCGGTCGGATCTTGTCAAAAAGTCCGTGCTGCCATCTGGCGAGGCGAAACGAAGTGACTTAGTTGCGCCAGAAGATGGCGCTGAATTCGAATTTGGTGGTAAGAGGTGGAACTCCTCTAAAAATCCCGTGCTGCTATCTAGCGAGCCGCCCTGGAGTGCATCTCTAACTCATGGAGACAGCGCTCAAAAGGAGGGAATAAACCTGATACAGAATGAGGTGGCACTCGGGACGGGTGCGATTGAAAGTAGCGATGAGGAGTCTACTGACTTCTCCGCCTGGAGGGAATCAACTATTCCGACGAAAACAGTAATCACTGCTAATTTACAGGATTTTGATACTAAAATCAGAGAGACTGCACCAGTGGAAAGTTTGTGTCAAAAAAGAGTAGGAATTGATTCCTCGATCCAAAATGGGCTTGGAAGGATTGACCTGGAATCAAGCATGTCTGTGCAAGATTTAAAGATGCATGATACGGGCAAAACTAATTCAATTAACGTGGCTACGGTTGCAGAGTTACCGAAGGAACTGAATTCTTGTGAAATCTCCGGAAGTGCTGAAACAGCATCGTTTCCTGAAACTACCGACGGTGAAGTAGTCGATCAAGCAGAGATCAAGCGTCAAGAGGGGTGCCTGCACATGTGTTCGATGGATCCTTGTTGCGAAAGTAATACCTCTGAAAGTAAAGTAAACCATTCTCTAAGAGAAAAGGTTTGCATCGACGATGACTGTGCAACCCAGAGAGGGACAAACAAAATTCATGACGAGGAGAACGCCCTTTTTTCCACGAAGCAAAGTTTATTTTTATGCTCAATGATCAACGGAAAGTCTCCTCAAAAGTCTGAAGCCGGCTCCAATGAGATTTCAGTCGATCCATCGAAACATGCCGAGGACAGTGTGAACTTTGACTCGAAACACGAAGTTATCAGTCACGAGGAGGACGGTCATTCGGTTGCAAAATCAATCAAAAATTCGCCGGGGAATACCAAATTTGATGATCTCGGATCCGACCCTAGTTTGAATGAGGAGCTACAGGATCAAATCGAAGTCAGGGTTCATGACGACGAGGTAATAATTGCTGGGTATGGTGACCCTGGCCAAGAGACGATACAGTCAAGTTCAGATCAAAGCGCCGAAAGTGCCGATGCTCCGATCACAACGCAACAAGTTGCCTTCAGCCGTCAAACACAAACAGGGGTCCCGAGCGATCTAACTTCGTGGGAGAGCCGTGAAGCACGCCCCGAACTTTTCGGCGGTTTCGCGGACGAGGCTCGTCGTGACGACCACCCCCAACCCCCCGCGCCCACCCTCCCAAAAAGTTTGCCCCGGACACACGTCCACGACAACTTCAAATTCTTCCGGGAGAGAGGCCCCAAGTTCCGGATCTCCGATATCATACCTGAATGCCCGGAAGAAGAGGCTTCGACGCAAGGGTCGACCAACGCGCCCATCCCCAAGCCTCGGAATATCCCGAGGGATGTGAACCCGGACGTCACGATCATAGTCAGCGACGAGGATAGCCGCGAGACCGTTAAAACGGTCGTCAGTATTAAACCGCTCGCCAGGAAGCGAGGGGAAGTGCCTCTGACGTCAGGATCCTCAACGTCATCCGACGCATCGTCATCAGGACCCTCGTCTGACGACGCCGCGTTCACGATATCATCGCCGACCTCGCTGAGAATGCCGTCATCGGCATCGACCGTATCCGCATTCGCGGATGTGACGTCATCGTGGAGATCTACAAACGTGCCGCAGTTCGGACGGTCGACCGACGAAATGTCGTCACCGGAATCGACACTCCTCGCTCTGAAAAACATGACGTCATCGTTGAAAGCAGAATCAGAGGCACTCGCTGACGGGACGTTATCCTCGATAACTCGCACTTTGCCAGAAACGAACGACATCACGTTATCTACATCAAGAGCCACGTCGATTCCCCTGAATTCAAGACCCTCATCATCAGAATCCATTTCGGCATGCGATGATGTGACGTCGTCGAACCTAGCGCAGTCGACCGATGAAATGTCATCATCGGAATCGACACTGCTCGCTTTGAAAAGTATGACGTCATCGCTGACGTCCGACACAGAGGCTCCCTCTGGTAGATTGTGGGCGCAGCCGGGACAGTCGACTCAAGATATGACGTCATCGATGAAATGCGACAGAGAGGAACTCTCTGGTGGGCCGTGGGGGTCGTCGAAACTGGCGCAGTCGGTACAGTCACCTAACGAAATATCGACACCTCTTGCTATAACGCCGACTGTCGAGGCCACGGCGAGAATGACTCTGTGTCCCCGTGTGACGTCACCGAGTTCGGCGATGCTAGCGGCTCGGCTAGGACCCGCAATGACGTCACCGGACCCGGTGGACTGGGCGCGGTTCCTGAGTCTGGACCCGGCGCCGCCGGTGGGAGACGCGAGCCCGACGCCGGATTCCTCGTCGCTGTGGCTCAGCTGCTCGGAGGACGAGCGGCAAGCGAACCTGCTCAACTACGACCTCTTCCGGACGGACTTCTCAGACGCGGACCCGGACCTCAACGCGGAGTGGCCCTTCGCCGCAGCTGCCGTCGTGGCGCCCCCGCCCCCGCGCCTCCTCAGCGTGTTCCACAGTGAGTGCTACGCGTTGCATTTGTAATAGGGATGCGGATTTTTTGCGGGAAATAATTTCTTTATGTAAGAAACGATTTTGGTCGAAAAATACATGAGGCTGAATCGATTTTAGTGTGAAAATCAATTTTTCTGATTATCAACTGAACCACATTTTGCAATTAGAAACTACAGTTGCAGGCTCATTTTAGAAACAACATAAATGCTATTGGTTTCCCTACGCAGATAGAGGTTTTTATCTATGGGCCAGAAATTGTGGCTCCTTATTGCAAAATGCAGTTCAACTGTTTTGCTGCCTATTCCGGAGAGGCCAAGCAGGGTGTATACTAATAGGGAAATGGTACTGATTGTTCAAGGGTGATCCGGAAGTATCGAAAAAAAGCGGAAATTCTGTAAGAAGGTCCGGAATTTGTTTTAATAAAGCCTGAAAAGTATGCGATCCTCTGTGCGTTGATCTTAGAGTAGTATTTGCCTGCATAATCGCGATTGCGCGCTTGTGCAGTCAGTTTATCTTCAAGGCACCAATGAAGTTTCGTGGTTCGTCATATTTGTCGCAAATGAGCGAGGGTTTCAAATTTGCGGAAGTTTTCGAATTTGGGGTCTATTGGAGGCACTAAAAAAGAACTGCATTTTTCTGTTTAGGAGGTACTGAATTTCTTGGGAATGTACTGTAAATGTACTGATTTTTTGCCAACCTGTTTTAGTAGACACCCTGTTCAAAGTTCATTTTGCTGATTAGTACACGGAAAAAAAAGAACTGTCATTTTAACAGTCACATTGAATGTTAAATTTGTTTGACGTTTCTCTGTTCTTTTACTTGTCGTGACTGCTAATTAAACATTTTAAGTATGTTGAAACAAAAGTATGCAAATCTGTTAGCTCAACATCTTATTGATGCTTTTGAAATAACATTCTGTATGTTATTCCGTCATCGCACGACTGTTGAGTTAACGTCAGGTGCGGTTCATTAAATCAACGTTCCTGAAGCTCTTGGAATGACTGTCATTGGCTTTTCATTTTACAGTCCACACGTTATTTTGACATTCGTTCGGATATTAAATTTACATTCGGGCAGGTGTTGGTCTAATGTTTTGAAGGCCGTTAAATTCGCAGAAATAATCTGCTAAAGCAACAGCGAGGGTGTTGAAATAGCAGCGGACAATTTAACAGCGGGTTGACTGTAAAATGCTGACCGTTGCACGGAGCATCCCATCCCGGCCAGTCCCGTGCGATCGGCGCAGAGCGCATGCGCAGTTATATACAGTCGTCGATCGCCCCACCCCCGCTACGATCGGTGACGCAGAAAACCTCTCCTTACCCTCCAGCCACCACTGTCCACCCTCCTTCTCGAGGGTTGCGCTTGCGCGCCAACCTGACAATGGGCCCGGTCAGGGAAATTCTCAGAACTGTAACCGCCCAGGCCCGGTGTTCGGCTGTTTCTTCCTTCGGCGTTGTTCGCGCATTCCAGTCTGTTCGCTGAGACGGCCATGTCACTGTTTTAAAGGATTTCGTTTGCTCATCAGTTAGTGGTTTTGAGTCAGAGAAGTCTTGCGCTTGCGTTTCGAAATCGTGCTCAAATTGTGTTTGCGAGTGAATTTTGGCAAAGAAAGTGATTAGTTTTGATACTCAGTGCGTGATCTGCAAAATTAGTAGCTTCATAGGAAAGTAATTCTTACGATATAAGCAAATTTGGGCACACTGGAATCAGTTGCGGGCAGACGCCATTTTTTGAGTCATCATCATGAATTCGTTCAACTCGGAATTTCTTCTGCCGTATATTTGTGTTTTTTGGTTTCAACTTCAACATTGACATTACACGCACTCTCGACTCAATTAGATTTGCGTTCAGTGCATACAACTATCATTTTTAGCGTGCCTTACATATTTATATGCAGGCACGGTTTTGATTTCGTTTCCCGTAGATTATACTATCAGCCCTATCTTCTATACTTTCCGATGGTTTTTTTTGCAGAATCCTAATTCCGTTGTGTGATTTTTTCCTTTTTTAAGTTTAAAGAAATCTAGGCTGTTTTGAAATGGAATGAAGTGATAATTTAGCAAATCCTAATCTTGGTAGAATTTTTTGAAACCTTTTATAATACATTCTCCGTGATTTTAACTCATAAGCACAATCGGCTGTTTGGTCCTTACGTTGTTTTTTATTAATGACGCCAACGTGACATTGTCTTAATGACGTAAAGTGTTTCAATGTGTAATACAGTGTAGGTATGTGCGATATCTGACCACGCCGCGAGTGATAAGTTGGGTTTTTTGGAAAAAAGAAAATAACCGGTGGAGAGGGAGGGTTTAAAATGTGCCTCACTTATTTTGTTGACGACCCCTAAGCCATGATTAATTCTGCTCCACCGAGAACTGCAAAGATGTATACTTTGTGTTGTGTTTTTGTGCATTTAAGCTGTTTAATTTTTGTGAAATTAACTCATTGTGAAACTGATTTAGTCTGTAAATGTTACTTTGACCGGAATATTATCTACGGTTTTTGTATCATTTACTTGAAACCAGTTAAGCAATTATCAGCTATTTACATAAGCATGTAAGTATATGACCATGATTTTTTACAGCTGCGTGGCATCGTGTCTGCCACATTAACAGCAGTGTGAATGAAAATTCAAAAGCTAATTTGCGTTTACATGAGCAGCAGCGCTGCTGCATCGACAGCAACGTGGATTTAAATTCAAAGACGAACCGGCTGTCATGAAAACAGCGACGCTGCTTTTTCGACAGCAGCGGCCGCTGTTAAATCGAAAGCAGCGTGAGCGTCAATCTGATGGGGAACCGACGCTTACGCCAGCAGCTGCGCTGCTAGTGTAACAGACTAGTTGATGTGGGTTGAGCAGATTTTGTTGTCATTGTTACATTCATTTACTGTCAATGTGACAGCAAAGCGCCTGTTATAATAACAGACAAAGGTAATGTTATTTTAAAAGCCGGGATGCTGTGCCGTTTTTTAACATCCAATGACTGTTCCTTTTGCAGTCGCGACGATTAAAATGACAGTACTTTTTTTTCCGTGTAAAATTCTCTTTTCCATGGAATCTAGACGATTTTTCAGTGGGTAAAATAATCAGCACTAAACGGAAAAGAAAAATGTTTGCACGATGAACTTAAGTCTATGAGAATAGCTTTGGCGGCCAAAAATCAACGAAAGCTGAATCAATCATCATGTAAAAATCGATTTCGCGATTTTGAATATCGATTTAAAAATTCTATTTTTTCTGCCTCTGCGAGAAATTCCAAATTTGGTTTAGCTGAGTATGGAAATTCCTTTTCCATGACATTTCGATGATTTTTCAAGGGTAAAAAAATCATCACAGAACAAGGATGGAAAATGTCTGCAAGATATGTTTAAGTCTGTGGGGAAAGTTTTGGCAGTCAAAAAAATCGAAACTATCAGAAAATTTCATCGATTTGAGGAAACAATCGATTCGGCCTATAAATCGGGGTAAAAGGTAGATTCGATTTAATTGATTTTTTGGTTGAATTTACTGAAGATCCGCATCCCTAATTTGTAACGGTTGAATCCCGGTTGTAGCTGGTATTTTATACGTTGTTAACCCCTTTGCAATTAGCTTTGTTTTATCGTATTTTTGGTCGTAATATATCTAGCCGTGACAATAACTCACTTCCTGGTAGTTTGTTTATTCCCTCGAGTCGTCCCTCTCCTTAACCTGGTATAAGCACTGCACAAAAGTAATCAGGGTACTTGGAAGACAAGGGGGGTAAGTTCATTTTTCGCTATTTCAAGGAATACGTCTATCAAAGTTTCAAAATTAAATTGAAAATTTTGGTCGTGAGTTTTTCACGGAATATATTTAAAATTGTATGTGCAAATACCTTGATTTTTTTAAAAAATTGCTTTTATGCACGCGCCTTGTCCTCAAAGCTCCTTTAACTACAAGAAGAAATACATCTGGAATATACATTTAGTAGATATAAATTCACTTACTTGTCATTTCTTAAGTGGAAACACGTATAACTAACTGATCAGAAATGCAAACTTTTCACTTGCAAATTGTGTCACTATCAGAAATATGTTTCTGTCCAGTATCTTTTATGCAATTTGAAGAAAAATCAGAAAGTTTTCACTAAAACTCTTTCTGATTTTTCTTCAAATTGCATAAAAGATACTGGACAGAAATCGCACTGTCTCATTTTTGTAAAAAATCGAATTATTTGGATCCATTTTGCAACTCCGCGATAGAGTTGTTGCAAGCAATTAGCAGCTGCCACCTACATGCAATTTATTTGCATAGAATACGAAATTGTACGAATGCATCCGTAAAAAACAAGAAAATACCGATTGTCATGCTTGGAAATTCAATCAGTCTTTATCCGCGATGGTGGCAATGGTTTTCATTGAATCAAACCCCCAACAATGGAGGCCATCCCCGTGCCATGATGGTTCACCTCTAAATTTAGTCAAACTCTTCATGCACAGATAGAAAACAAATACATTAGCAACCGCCGAAATCTCGGTAATATGCATAAGTTTGTTCCCTATCTGTGCATGGAGAATTTGATCAGATATAGAAGTGGACTCTCAATGTAATATCCCCTCCATTACGGTCGTAACTTTGGGAGCTTTTTTTTTTTTTGAGATTATAAGTTGCTTTCAGAGCAAACCAGTGGCACCATCGTGTTTATCGCAAAATTCCGAATACGGAAGATTACTAATATCACAAATCAAGAACACATAGAAGAATTTCATGAGAAAAAAATGATACTGCTGATTTAATGATTTCGTGGTTAAAAAATGTGTCCGATATGATTCAATGTAGATTTTACAATAAAAAAATGCCAATTTAACTACCATCGTGGTTAAATAAGCTTTTCACTATTGTAAAATGTATTTTTGAAACGTGTCGGACACATTTTTAAACAGTTAATTGTTGAATCAGTGCAATTCCTCTTTTTCCGTGACTCTTGACACAAGAAGAAACAGCTCAAAACGCATATTTCTCTTGGACTTGGATAGAAAAAGAAGAAAAAACCTGCCACAAACGAACGCAAGCGAAAGTAACAGACAGACTGTCATTTTGAAGAGGTGCTAACGGTGTAAGGCGTTGCAAGCAACTATTTTAACGTTCCGGAATGCAAATTGCATAACCGGCGAAATTGAAGGCACTTTGAGCCGCCCAGCACGTTCGCATCTCTCGCGCACGAAACCCACTGTTACATTGGATGAAATTTTGACGAGGAATGTATTGAGTCCCTAAACTACGGATGAACTTTGACTTGCAAATGCATTTTCCTAAAGGTGAATGATGCGTAAAACACGATACACAGAAAAAATAGCTCAGAAACCGAGATACATGGAGTTCAAAAAGCGCAACTTCTCCGCAAATTAAAACGCCCTGATTTTCGAACCGAATGATGTCATCTAGCACTATTCAAAAACAAGCAAGGGCTTCTAAGGTTTCTTTTAAATGCTTTTCTCATTCCTCGTATATGAAAACATAGGAATGGCGAGACTCTATCTTCAGAATTAAAGTATTGTCATCTGTACTAAACAAGCAACATTTCTTCATTGAAATAAGTCGGGGTGGACAAAAGAAAAGTGGGTGGTGGGGGGCTGAACTCAATTGGCCTACGGCAAACCTGTCACGAAATTTTACATGAGAAAAAGTTCTTAATGCGCGAAAGTGAGGCCTTGTCTTCACGCGACGTTTTCATGGGATTCGTCCCGAGTTCGAATCGCAGGAATGATATCTGGGATTTT